CATGACAGATTTTCCCAATGCAGTTCATCTTTTTTTTCCTTCACATTATTGTAACTGAAATTTTATTTTATGTACAAACTGGAGATCTTGTTTCTTGCCATGTAGAGGTCTCGGGTAGGCAATCCAAGAAAGATCACTTAGTCCAACTTGATGAAGCCGATATCCTTTGCGTACTGCCGGAAACACTGGCGGCACATATTCAGTCCATATTTCCGGATCAGTCCGTGTCGGTTAGAGCACACGCGGCAGGAGCGGGAGCCCTGGCCAAATTTTCGCGGGTGACTCCAGTAGAGCTGCTGCTGACCCATCTTGCTTGGATGGAAGCACCAAGGCAAAAAGGCAGTTCATCTTTTGATTTCCTGACTGTTGGTGTTAAGAGTGTTGATTGTGAAGCCGACCAAGCTGTAATTGTTAACAACCTCAATTTCTTCTCCCATCATGGTGTTGCCAATTGGCCTAGTGGTGAGAATCTTTGTTTTCTTGATGTTGAACTTCAATCCATATTGAAGACTGTTACAGTCCTTGACCTTTTGCAGCAAGTGCTTCAGGTCATCCTCAGTTTCAGCATGCAAGGTTGTGTCGTCTGTGTATCATAGGTTGTTGATGAGTCTTCCTCCAATCCTGATGCCATACTCCTCCTCATAAAACCCTGCTTCCCAAATGATCTGTTCTGCATACAGATTGAAAAGGTATGGGGACAAGATGCATCCGTAACACACTCCTTTCCTGCTTTTGAACCATGCAGAGTATTTCCTTGCTCTGTTCTGAGGACTGCTTCTTGGTCCAAGTATAGATTTTTTTTTCTTTTCTTTTCTTCTCCCTGCCGCTTTTTTTTTTTTTAAACAGTCCCTCCATAAGGACTATCTACTTAGCTTTGTATCCAAAGACAAAATCTGTAGGTGAAAGGAGTTAGCCTTCATTACATACTGGTTCATTTTAGGGTCGAAAATATGGAACGCTTCACGAATTTGCGTATCATCCTTGCGCAGGAGCCATGCTAATCTACTCTGTATCGTTCCAATTTTAGTATATGTGCTGCCGAAGCGAGCACTCCGTATAGATTTTGTATAAGCACGATCAAGTGTTCTGAGATTCCCATTTACCTCAAGGTTAGCCAGTTTATTGTGATGCACACAAATGCCTTTGCATAGTCAATGAAACACAGACATTCTAAATTACATAAAGAGATGTTTTATTTTAAAAGTTAAACGTGAGAAAATAGTTTGCAAGATGTTTTGCAGAAGGCCAATCTCTTGATAATCTAACTCAAATTCATTGTTATGGAGTTTATCTTTCAGTATGACTTAAACCAAGCAACTCCTTGGAGGCAAGGATTCTGGGGCTTCGTCTGACATACTTTGGGCATCTTGCAAGGAGGAATAGGACCTTGGAGAGGGACAGCGCAAGATGGGAAGACCCTTTATGAGATGGATTGATTCAGTGACTGGGGTAATTGGGATGGATGTGTCAGAGGCAGTGCGATTGGCACAGGATAGAGCAGGGTTTAGGGCTGTTGTACATAGGGTCGCTATGAGTCCACAGCACATAACAACAACAATGTAGATGGGCAGGAATATGCTAATAGGGATATCCACAAAAGGATTGTTCAGTCTCTAGTACCTTCTGTGGGATTGGCTAGTATTGTCAATAAATTGAATAGCTCTAGTCGTAGAGACATCTGGCTCCAGCACCCACGATAGAACTGGAAACCTAGAGATGAGACCTTACCAGGAGGGGCAGGGGAGACCCATATTGGCAATCCAGAGAACTTCATTGGACAACTAGGGGTGGGAAGCCAATACTGGCAAGACTGAGAACTTGGGGACACTGGCCAAAAAGCTATGAGGCTCAAGGCTGGGAGGTGCCTCTGTGCACTTTTCAGGAGCTGTCTTCGCTGTCTTCTGTTACTCATCCGGACTATAACCTTTTAACTTCCCCAATATGGTTCGAAAGAGGTCAGGAGCATGGGAGGACCTCCTGGGAATTGATTTTGTCTTACTGATGCTGTTAGTAAGGACATCTCCCCTTTGTGAATTGATTAAGGTCAGACAGGGCCATCCCCACGTGGCCCTTAACTCTTTTTACTTTTACTTAGAAATAAGTGTGCAATTTAAAACTCGCACAGATGGTTTAAGTCATACCTGGCCTTGCTATGCAAACCTAGCATTTTGTTTGGACAATCAGGGCTCCAGACCTGGTGAGTCCTTGTGCTCCCAGAGACCACTGGTCACTCTGCCGCCCGAGGCCTCAGCTACAAGACCGGGCTGCCTGCTCACCTTCCATTTACAGGAGAGGGAGCCCCTTTCTTAAGGTATCTTCTTTTGAACCGGTGGCATCTAGACTTTAGGACTGGACTTCGCGGGAGGAGGCACTGCCCAGCTGGGAGCTTAAGCTTGGAGGCGCCCCCCCCACCCCAACCTGGCCTCAGAACTACGGCTCCTTATTGGCAAAGGCCAGGAAACGGGTTTGGCGAGTCCAGAATAGCCAGTGGTGGTCGCCATGGCAATCTAGGCGGCCTGGCAGGGGCGCTGGCGCCGACCTCGAGGTCCCGCCCGGCCGCGCGTGACCCTCGGCGGCTCCGGTAGTCACGTGGCCTGGAGCCGGGCGGGGGCGCCGTGGTGAACCCGACCCGCCGCGAGCGCC